TTTTTTTTTTTTTTTTTTTTTTTTTTTTTTTTTGCATTTCGAAACGGTCGTAATTTCAGCATTATCTGGTGTAATTGTCGTAGGTGCAGCCAATAGTAATTTGCAAGTCTCGCCTCTCAGATTTTCTATAGAAAGATTCACTCAGAAAACTGTTCACAGAGCTTTAATTGTATGCCTTTTGTTATCATTGTTATTTTGCTTTCTTATTTTTTGGTTCTGTACATTTTATGTTGCGTATTTCTTCCAGGATGACGTTATTGACTTTTTGGAGATGTATTGTTTGAAAACACCACCAGCTTCAAAATTAAAGCCTTTATCTGTCGTAGAAACAAGTAACGCAGATCTCTCGGTTATGAGAGGATCCACGACTTCTAGTCGTTATATTCCGAAGTCTCGTAGACAGTCAGACGTTGGCATTTCAACGGACGTTGGAAAAAAGCGATTAACTTCTCGTGAGAGGTGGTTACTTTAATCAATCTCCCATAAATCCGAGTAGGTCTGCTTTGGGCGTTTCCCATTGCACTTGCTCTTCCGTTTTTTTTCTTAGACCCGTTGCTAGTGAAAGCGATCGTATACTTTTAGGTTCATATTTTATTATCAGGATTAGGAGAATTATAGATAGGTTTCCCTTACTGATTTTAAAATGCTGAGGGGGTTTAAATTATGTATATTTTTTCCAGCCAAGAGGTTGAATGTGCATTTAAACGGCCTCATACAGCTGATGTTGTGCAGAATGGCCAGCCTCTTCTCATGACAGGTAAACTTTGTTCTTTCTTAGCCAGTGGTAGTTACCGCAGTTAGGGTTATTTATTGAAGTGGAGGTGATTTGTTTCGTTAGTTTTTTTTTTTTTTGTTTTTTTTGTTTTTACAGAGGCATACTTGAACAAACTTTTAGGAACTCCATATTCAGCTTCCGATTCACTTGATAACAATAATACTTACCGACCGCAAGGAAGTAGCTCTTCTGCCCCTGCAACGATGAAGTGTTTAGCTGATGAAACTTTTGATAACTTAGTATCACCATTTTGATCCTTTCTTTAAATGTTATTTTGTTAACATGTTAACAAACTTTGAAGCATTTTTTTTTTGTCAAGGTTTAGCTGTGTAAAATTGTTTTCATTGGTTTACAAGACTGACGGCGCTTGTTTGTGTATTGTTATATTTTTGCATAAGTAGTGGAGATCTGTTTAAGTAGTTATCGTTTGTAAAATAGGAGGAACTGGAGTTTGAAGTTTTGTTTAGGTAGATCGTTAATAACGATGTTTCTAATTTTTTGGTACATGGTTTCTGTAGTTTTCCTTGCATTTTTGTCGTTCTTTGCTTGTGGATGTGTATGTTCATTTTTTTTTTAGTTGAGTATATTTCATCTGCGTCAGTCAACATTGAATTGTACTGCCAAAACTTTGTTTTTTTTTATTTTTTAAAATGACTGAAAGATCTGCATTTTCCTTTTTTCTACTTTGATTTGAACTTTTGATGTCTGCACGACTAAAATGTAAATTGTCATCCATGGTCAGTGATTTTGTCAGAAGAAGCAGTTTTTTGTGTCACTTTTGCAATTGATCGCTTGATCATGAGATCAGTTTTTTTGTTAAAATTAAGTTTCATTGCACTTTTTTTGTTCAGCACGTTTATTTTGTACGGTTTTCATTGTAATTTGTTTTTTTGGTGGTAATATCAATTGCATTTAAGTTGCCCATAACCGTTTATCCCGAATTATTTGTCCGAGGGCGTCTTTATTCGTTATGAGGTCTGGGAAATCTGGTTAGGGTGTGATAAATTCTAGATTGGTTCTGTGAGAAGGTTAGGAGTTTTTGGTTCTTAGCGGCCATATGCGTTGAAGTGACCAGAGCTTCCGTTAGGACATACACTTGAAAGCACACTGGATTTTGGTAATTGGTGGTTTTAGGTTTTTTAAAATTACTTTGAGTTTGGAACTGGGGAAAGGCAGCCGTCGTCCTCCTAGTGTTTCGGGATGGACCGTTATGGTAATTAAAGATCTGTTGAGAAGATCTGCATTGCCATTGTTCAATTTTATAGTAAAATGTTGAGCACCGGGATAAAATTATGCACTGTGACATTTGTTAGGGGGGAAGTGTGTCAGCCGGAGCTGAGTTGTGGTTGACAGGTGGATTTGTGTGGAGTGGACGAAATATTGGACTTTCATTTGTTTAATTTCACTTTGCTAATTCTTTGCTTTATGGAACAAGATTTGTTTATCATTCCGGAAATGCACCAAACGACTGAAATGATGTGATTGCTTTGGTCCAGTTCAACACTGAGATAAAATCACTTTGGGGTAGGGCTAGTGTCAAAAATTGGAGGGAAATGAGTTTGATCATTAGTATACAGCAAGCGTAAAGACATATATGATCAGTGAAGTCACACTTGGATAATGGTGCAGTTTCGAGAAGGAGCAGTACTGTCGAATGGTTCAAGCAAAACTGACTCAGTTCGGGTAACTTTTCACTAATTTTACAAAAAAAAATGGATGTATCTTACTAGCACCGGTCAGTCTAGTTGCGTGGTAGATCGTTTGTTTTGTTTTAAAGTACAACTTCGGCCGTCCCTGTGATCTGTTGAAGCCGTAAGCAGCTAAAAGAAGTTACGATCGAAATGACGTTTTGATCATGTAGATGTTAGTGGATAATTACTTTAACATTTGCAATACTTTTCCTTTACCCATTTTTCAACAGAGTTTCTTTTGTTACCCATAAAAAAATATTGGTAACAAGAAAGGAAATGGTTGGTACAGTTGAAGACGATTAAAGTAAGGCGCAGCGACTCAATGTAAGTAATTAGTAGTTATTTGAAGGAGGAGTTCGGTGAAGTTAATCAAATTAAGGGACAGGTAGTAAGTTGTTAAGCGTTTTTACATGTTGTACTTCCTGCGTGTTTGCCATTCACATAAATTTCGCAAAAGTACTACGGATTTTGGCTTCTTCTGTAATCGCATTCAGTAGGCGAGAAACCAGGAGTAAAGAAACATCCTGGGTCGTTGCTGCCTGCTGTATTTTGAGAACTTTCTAATTACAGAAACGTGCGGTTTGCCTGATTGTTATGGGAGCGTTTGGTATAGTTTTGATAGCATGTTTACAACGCTGTTCCGTATCGCTTTATGTGATTTTTTAAATTCTGCGATTTTACTAAGGTGATCTTTACTTCTTAAAGTTTAGACCGGTGTTTTTCACAGGTTTATTTTGATGGTAAACAATGAAATTAATGCCACACTCTGATGAATAACTAATTATCAGACTGTATACAAACTGTCAGTTTATTAAATTTACTTCAAAATGAAGCGCTTTCAAATGAGTCATTTTGAATTATGTAATCCACGAATTTATGGTATGATATGATACTTCTCTCTTCACAGATACTCAGTTTTTCTATCTCTTTCTTTGGCCGGTGTATTTTGAACCCTTCATTTCTATTGCAAGTATTTTGTTATTGGATCTCCTAGG